TTGAGTAGTCTACATAAAGGCATTATAGTAAAATGAAATTTTAAAGTGATAGGTTAAAATCACTGTTAATTTCGGGAAATTGGTGTGTTGATTACTGAATCCATTGCATTCGTGATTTGTAACTTGTATATATTTGTTTCAGATATTAATTAGTAATGTGTCATTCCTATTTTTTGTACTATGCTGAACTGCTTTAGTATTTAGGACTGAATCATTTTCCATTAGTTGGGCTAGTTATTGTTGCAAATATTTCAAAACTGCATATTTCAGAGAATTTCTATGTAAAATTTGATTATTACAGTGCAAAAATAGTGTGACTATGTAAATATTTTGAATATGTAACTATTTATTATGTTATCGAGCTGTGTGAGGACGATATAGAGTTCTTAAGTAGTTTACATAAAGGCGTTATTGCGAATTTTAATCGTGCTAGGTTAAAGTTTACTGTTAGTATAGAGAAATTGGTATAAAATTATTCAATCCATTTGCATTCAGTGATTTGTAATTTGCTTATAATTTGTTTACATGAAATTTTTAATTATTTAATAATGTGTGCAGTAATGTGTGTACAGTACAAAAATGTAAACATTTTTGTACTGTGCTGAACTATTTTAGTGTTTTGTATTGAATCGTATTAGTATCATTTATTAGTATGAGTAACTATTGCTGCAGATATTGAAAAAAATGCCTATTTCAGGAAAAATGTAAATTTGATTATTTCATTGCATCGGAGAGACAGCTGCGTTAGGAGGGTTCGCGAGGTTTTTATCCGTGTAACTTTTGATATGTATGTCGGGCCTCCGCCCACCAGCGGCCGAGCGTAAAGTCGCTGAACACTGGTAGTTCCGCCCGAGGTTCGAATCCCGCGAACGGGCTGGCTGCATGGGTGTTTTCGTGGTTTTCCCCATGTGTAACGTGTGTACGAGCCAGTTTCCCTTAGAAAGTCCTCCACGAAGGCATCACTTCCCTTAGGCAGGTAGCCCTAGTGTACTTTGCCGTAAGTAAAGAAACTAAACAATTTGTTATGTATATTTCTTTTATAACAAAAATGGCACATAAAGAATTTCTTTCTATAAAATGGATTTTACATTTTATCTCAAACCCTACCTATTTCTATATTTATTAAAAAAAAAAATTAATTTGTTTGAGAAACTTAAAGGAAGATAAGTGAGGGCGGCAGTTTTAAATTTTTGCCCCACCTAGGAAAAATGCTAAGTCCGGAGATGCTAGAGTTAAGGACTACCACAAAAGACAATCCCGTAGTCGGTAGGATTCGAACCTACGCGGGAAAATCCCAATGGATTTCTAGTCCATCGCCTTAACCACTCGGCCACGACTACTCGAGCGTACTTGCTTTATTATTAAATATGTACTCGCCGTTGAAAAGGTGCATTTGGTATCCATGTTAGTTTTGGCGCTATGTTAAACGAAGTATGTTCTATATTAGCATATTCTATATTAGCTCAAAGATTTTTTAAAATTTCTAGTATGGCTTAATTTCTAAAATTAGAAGTGCCGGAGTGCTATGGAAGACCCCCAGGAAACAGGAACAAGAATAAATAAATAAATAAAATTACTAAAAATAAAAAAATCTGAAAGCTTTTTCAGATTTTACTTTAAGCCCAAAGGGAGCGGTTTTTTAACTTTTTGTGTGTTAACTTTATTATCATGTTCTTCGCACTTAAACCACAAAATTCAATTCAACAGCAATATCGAAAAATAATTTTAAAATGAGCATATCTTTAGAATTTCCGATACACAGTCTCACGCACTGGAGTTTTTTTTTTTTTTTTTTTTTTCGTACAATGTTGCCATTCCTCGCTCTGAAATCGTTGACTTTGTTAATAAAAAATTCGTTAAAATGCTACAAAACATGAAATCGATAATAAAACAAATTCCAAATTAGATCTTCCAGATGCCCATATTCGGTTGAGGATTACGTTATTCAAATTGGATGGCTCCAGGCACCGTTGTTTTATCACAACCGCGAGGAACATACATACATTTATGCAGATTCTTCATTATTTATTTTTTTTACATATGACACAAGGCGATAATATTTGGTGGCAACAGTTTGAAAAGTGAAAGGGACATTTTTAAAGTTTTTAACGCAAAATGCCAAAAGGAAATTAATATCCCTTCCGGGTTGACGCTTTTTGGGCTAATAAAATTATTAATAATAAATAATCAAATAATTAATTATTGATATAATTAAATAATAAATGATTAAAATAATTAAATAAATAAAATTTTAATTTAATAAAATTTATGGATTAAATGTTATTAAATAAATGGTAAACAGTTAAATAATAAAATAAAGTAGTGGACCTTGACTTATATGGCGTTGCGGATGGAATTTAAATTTCACATAAAAACTGGCCCACCAGCGGCCGAGCGGTAAAGTCGCTGAACACAGGTAGTTCGGTCCGAGGTTCGAATCCCGCGAACGGGCTGGCTGCATGGGTGTTTTCCTGGTTTTTCCCATGTGTAACGTGTATACGAGCCAGTTTCCCTTAGAAAGTCCTCCACGAAGGCATCCCTCCTCTTAGGCAGATAGCCCTCGTGTGCTTTGCCATAATTAAATACACCACACCGCACCACAAAAAAAACTGAGAAATAGCTCAATCGGTCTTCAGTTGAATTTAGTGTTTGAATATAATGTTATTACTTCAAGGGATAATAGAAATGAAGACCATTCTTTTCCCAGCACACCCAATGAAAAATATTAAAATGATTAAAGCGTCACTAATGAGACTAGGCAGAATGCTATAAATAGTAAGAGATCATACAGAATATTTTAATCGATGATGTGTACAATAAATCAATAAAATCAAACGGAGAATGCTCTAACATATTCTGACCACAATTTTCTGTTAGCATAATTCTAGCTGTCAAGCAGAACGTGACAGGGAAACAAATTTTCTATGAATCTGAGGGTTAGCTGAGAAAAAAGCAGCAATAAAAATGTTCATAATTTTTTCGTACAATGTTGCCATTGCTCGCTTTGAAATCGTTGAATTTGCTAACCAAAAATTCATTAAAATGTTACAAAATATAAAATAGATAATAAAACAAATCCCAAATTAGAGCTTCCAGACGTCCATATTCGGTGGAGGACTTCGTTATTCAAAATTGCACGGCTCTAGGTACCGTTGTTTTATCACAATGCGAGAAACATGTATACATTTATGCAGATTCTTTATTACTTAATTCCTTTAAGTATAATGCAGTTTTCTAATATTTGGTGGCAACAATTTGAAAAACGAACTAACATTTATAGTGAACCAACGCAGAATGCCAAAACGAAATTAATAGCTACAACTTCTGGGCTACTTCTTTGAAATCCTTTAGAATTATAATTCAATTTTCTATAAATAAAGTCACAGGACTTCTAGAGAATTCTATAAAATTTTAGATTCTGTAGAGGTTCTATAAAAGCTTTTATAATTTGTAAAATCATTAGGTTTTTTTGAAGCAGAAAACGTGAAAAATGTGCAGTGGCCTCGTCGGAACTTTAACCCTGGACCTTTCGAATACGCGTCAAGTATGCTTCCAACTACGCCACGAAGGCATGCAAAAAGGAGGGAGAAAATACCTTATAAGTTTCTAAAGATCCCATGTATGATGTGTATAGAATCAACTAATAGAATTCTACTGAAAATATCAGATATAGTTTATAGAAAATAGGACCATACTTTTAAGAAATTCTAAACAAGGTTACTTGCTTTAATTTTCTGCGGAAGATACTATAAAAAGCTTTTGAGCCTTATAAAATCAACAAAATTTTCGTTTGAGATTAAAAAGAATGAATTCACTTTTCATCTTAACCTAATTTTGAAGTAATCTGTTATACGGGGAAGGGGGAAGTAAAAACTTTCGAAACAGATGTGACTTCTTTCCGTAATAAAAATTTTTAATAAGATTTTGATTAAAAAATATTTAAATAAAAATAAATATATTTTAAATAATAGTTAAATCTAATTAAAACCAAGATAATGTTTCTTTATCAGGGGTCCATGTGATACACTATATGCTTTAAGCATTCATTTCAGGAAGTAAAATTTTATGCCTAAATAGGCATAAAATTAAACAGCATAAATTTATTCTTTGAATTCATTTTATAATTTGAATTGGTTTGAAATTTTTACAAGATTTTATTTTTGTGTTATATAAGCAGTACTGTGCAAAATTACATTACAAAATTAAGTGCTCAGAAGCTATATTCAGAAGCTTAAAAAAAGTTAAGATAAAGGAAAAAAAAAAAAAAAAAAAAGACAAAACTTTTCATTTCAAGCTTTGTTAATAGTTTGAAATCTTTGTAGATTTTTATAGAATGCCATTATGTAAAACGCTTTCTAAAATCTCCATGTGATTCTGCAAAGCAGTATTTCTACAGAATTGTATATTGTGAAAGTTTTATAAAATTTCTATAGAATTTTATAGAGAAGCATTTCTTTAGAGAATTGTCTATGAGAATTTCTATAAAGTTCTGTCAGACTCTATAAAAATATTTCGTATGGATATCCAAATTCATTTGAGAGGTTCCACTACTTTGAAATACCTTTACTATTTCCCAAACACCTACCTGTACGTGACCTCTGGATCGTACAAAGCTTGCAAGGGAAAACATTGCACCTTCCAGACTTAATTCTAACTGGGGGTTGAATTTGCAGAGGTCGAGTAAAGGTGAAGCAGGTAAAGGTCATGTTTGGAAAAATCCTTAACGGGTAAGGAACTAGAATGAAAAATGTAGAACGGAATGTATCACCCACAAAAGGTTAGGGATATTTGTAGGGGAAAACGTCAGTTTTTTGTGAGTCATATACAAAGATTTTTATCTGTTTCATGGTTTTAGAGACAGTTTCCTACTGCATTATGTTCCCAAATATCAGAAATGATGAAATGGTAGAGTTTATAACGGTTATATTTAAGTTATTGTAAATTACACTTCTGTAAGCACACTGCTAAGTAGCAACACTTCAGATTAAATAATAGTGTACTTTGTGCTCATTTTAGTTACACTGTTAATGAATTGAGTCTGGCGTGAGATATTATAGACCATAAAAAAAATTTAAAAAAAGTGTGATTACTCATCATGGCTCCGAACAGTTTTCAAGCAGAACAGGAAATTACAGGTAAATAATTCTTTCATGAATTTTTTAATTAACAAGGCCTTGAATAATCGCAGTAATTTGGTAAAATATTCAATTTCCGCCGCGAAATCTGCTTCTCGTATTCAATTTTTAGTTTTTAATAATACTTTTGCTTTTTAGAAGTAAGCAGATTCTTCTGAACAAAATGGCGCACATTTAGAACACGGTTCTAAGCTTGCTTAAAATGATGATAATTTTACTCTTAATATTGTCTAATATTTTAATATGCAGCATTTTTAGAGCTAGTAAATTTTAATTAAATGTTATGAATTAATTCTTCAGTTAAATAATCTTTGTTCCATAAAACTGCAGGATAGATTATTTATCCTCTTGTATGAAGCAAATTTAGATTACGAACATTGAAACGGTGGGAACAGAGGAAAACTGTCTTACAATTCACGATAAGTTGATCTGGCGCTTACGCTATAATTGTAAATAAACAATATAATCAACTATGTACTTATTACTGATGTAAAACTTTTAATTTTTTAAAAATCTTTTTTTCATTATATATGTGATATGTTTTCCTTATACGTTTTCTATACGTATATGTTACCGTGCATATGTTATAAGCGTTTCTGATCATCATATTTACTATTATTATCAGTATTGTTATTTTGTCTTTATGTACAATAATTAGACTTCTAAAATAATTCGTAAAATTCATCATGCTGCTTGAGTATCAAATGTTTTTAAGCATCCACCTTGTAGCTTTCGTTCTTTCAACTATAGCATTATATCATGTGTTAATTAATATGTATATTTTAATAATTCAATAACAGTTATTAATTATCTTGTATTTTATTGATAACGATTAATTAAATAAATTTAACCATTCCTCACATATATTCCCCCTTTTAGCATTATTATTATTATTATTATTATTATTGACGTTCAAGGGGAAATTATGCTAATCGTTTAATTTCCGAATGATGCGGTTACAAAAGAATATAACAAATGAAAACAACATTCCTTGCAATTGTAAATTGTTTATGAGATAAGTACAGCTTTCTGTTTAGAATTTTATTTTCACTTAAGAAAGGAACCTTGCAAAACAATGTTTGTGCACTTATATGTGTTTTATTACGAAATGAAAAGGTTTTGGTAGTGTTAGGAGAATATGCATGGGATAATTTTTGAGAAAACCCTTCCTAGTGTTTTCATCAACCATTTGAAGACAACAATATGCTTAATACTAGATGAAGCAGTATATTGCAAGCTCTCAATATTATTTTGATTTAAAAAAAATACATAAAGGGGAAAAAATCTGAAAGTTTTCGAATTTTATATTATGCCCAAAGGAGCTTTTTTTTTAACGTTTTGTGTGTTATCTTTATTTATTAAGTACTGTGTTCTTTGCACTTAAACCATAAAAGTCAATTCAACAGTAATATCCTAAAATAATTTAAAAAGAGCATATCTTTAGATTCTCTGATACAGAGTCTCGCGCGCTGGAGATAAGAATTTTTTTTTTTTTTGGGGGGGGGGTACAGTGCTGCCATTGCTGTCTTTGAAATCGTAAAGTTTGTTAATTAAAATTCGTTACAGTTTTACAAAATATGAAATAGATAATAAAACAAATTCTAAATTAGGACCTCCAGATGCCCATATTCGAGTGGAGGATTACGTTATTCAAAATTAAATGGCTCAAGGTACCATTGTTTTATCACTATGCGAGAAAAATACATATGTTTATGCAGATTCTTCATTATTCAGTTTCTTTAAATATAATACAGGGCGATAATATTTGGTGGCAACAATTTGAAAAGTGAAGCGCCACAAAATGCCAAAACGAAATTAATAACGCCCCTTGGGCTAAAAATATATACATGTTATGTAATAGCTAAAAGTCCGATTAAAATTAAGAAACGATTTCTTTTATTGGGGTTATGTATACAATAATTAAAGGCTTTAATTCGAGGAATTGAAATTTCATAATTAAGAGCGTGTATTTAGTCTTTTAATTAGTTTTATGATTTAAATTGATTTTATATCTTTACGAGATTTAATTTTTGTATTGTGTCAGTAATATTATACAAAAAAATTGCACAAAATATTATATAAATCAGAAGCTATAAAAAGCATTAAGCTAGAGAAAGAAAAAAAAATCAAAATTTCCATTCAAAAATGATTCAACGCTTAAGGAATAAAACGTGTTTTCTTTTTGCTCTTCTGTATCTCATATAGTCCCCCAGAAACTAAAAAGTTGCTTTGATTTCAGTTTGAAAACTTGGCAGGCTTTAAAAATGTCTAAATGATTTTGAGGGAAAAAAAAAAAAAAAAGTATAGAATTCTACTCTGTCAAGGTGTACACATGTATAGAATTCTACTCTGGGAAGGCGTTAGAATTTTGTAGAGGTTTACTTATGAAGTTCTATCGGAAATTCTATAGCGCCTTCAATTCCCCCCCCTAAAAGTAGAGCCAATTCAAGTAATTCAGAAAGAGAGAATATACAATCTTGAGAGTCAGCTACTGCTGCCCAAAAGCTATCTCTTAAACTTAAGAAATCTGCTCTTGAATACGTTAATTAATTTGCATCCTGGTGGAAGCTGACGAAAGCAGAAGTGAAAGTAAAGATAAAGATAATACACTGACTACCAATAAGTATTTGGACACCTGTGATAGAAAAGAAAAACTAACTTTATTCAAAATCAATAGTTGGTAGAGCCTCCACGAGAGGTAATTACAGCGTGGACCCTCCGGGGCATACTTTCCACAAGTCTTTGTATGACAGCTAGTGGTATTTTCTTCCACTCGAATTGGAGAAGACATAGACGTTCCCTCACCGATTTTGCACGGGTAGTGCACTCCTGAATTCGGCGATGTAACTCGTCCCAGAGGTTCTCGATTGGGTTCAGGTCTGGACTCTGGACAGGCCAGTCCATTCGATGAACTCCATTGGCACCATACCAAGCCTTGGTTAACGTCGAAACATGACAACTGGCATTGTCGTCCTGAAAGTAGCAGGGGTCCAACCCGTAAAACTGCCACAACGTATGAAGCACATTGTCATCCAAAATAGTGTAATAGGCATCGGAGTTGAGCTTACCATGAATGGGGGACCAAGGGTCCCAGCCCATACCAGGAGAAACACCCCCAGACCATAATTCCACCTCCACTGAACTTGACTGTTGGCACAATGCATTCTGGCAGGAGACGTTCTCCAAGACGCCAGACCCAGACCCTGCCATCCGAACGGTAAAGGGTGAACCTTGATTCGTCACTCCAAAGAACCCGTTTCCACTGATCTACGGTCCAATTTCGATGTGCTTTGCACCACATTAACCGAGCAGCGCGGTTGGACTTTATGATCAAAGGCTTATGGGCAGCAGCACGACCACGAAAACCAAGCAGATGTGCTTCCTAACGGATGGTATTCATTGAAACAATACTCTCGGATGAGGGCCATCGGTTGGGTGCGGTTCTTCCAAATTTCTCTGGACAGCACTGGTCGGTCTCTATCCTCCAGTTTCGTTGGTCTGCCGACTCGGGGCCACATTCCGACAATCACCGCTCACCTTCCACGTCTTAATCACATAGGCCACTTTCGATTGTGGGTACTTCAGATAGCTAGATATGTCCCTTAAGGATCGGCCACATTTGTGATACCCGATAATTATACCTTTCTCGAAATCAGAGAGCTCCGAACTGCGAGGCATCTTGCATGCGACTAAAGCCGATGCTGTTTCGTACACGATATATACCGGCGGAGTCCGTGACGTACCTTAGGACTGCAGATATCGTCATTTGCATAGGTGTCCAAATACTTATTGGTAGTCAGTGTATAAGATAATGAGTTAATAAACACAAAACCCTACCAAAGTAATATAAACCGAGAATGGAACTATTCGCCGTGGCCGTTTCGTCGTCGGGACGTTAAACTAAATAAATTTAGTACGAGTTATAATACGGCAAGATAAAATACAGTCATGTAAAGAGAAGATGTCTTGACGGCGAAACGACCCGACGACCAAACATCCCGACGACGAAACGTCCCGACGGCGAAACGGCCACGGTGAAACGTCCTATGACCCATATTAACCTCATAAATTGAGAGTGCATAATAAAGCGCTTGAGAATTTTGAGCCTGATGAGGAGATGGCTGCCTGCGTGAATGGTTTTCTGAGAAAAATTACTTTACATTTACGTTAGAATAGTCACGAAGGTCCAATCTTGCCATTCTGTCGCCACGACGAACCGAAGCTTTTATAAAAACCCCTGAGAAAATCCCCCCCTTTTTTTTTCTTTAAGCGTTTGACTATTCGTGTCACTGCTCTTCATCAGACGTTAAGGACAGGAAAAATCTTACCTCTGTAATTCCTGCAGCATTCAATGTTATGTTGTTAACTTCATATCTGAAGAACATAGAGAAAATTTTTCGTAGACGTACTTCAGGAGAATTATCTCTACTACTACTGTATTTCCTTACGTATCCCCTCCTACCGTTTTAAGACTTAATTCTGAAAATTTTAAAAATATTCGTGTCATTTCCCTTTTCCTTAATGCGTTCACAGAATGAGGTCCCATAAATGTTTAAAATGAATTTATCCACCTACTGTGGTGACCGCTTTTGTCTCAAAGACAAAAACCTCGCAAACTGCTTGCGAAGGTCACTCTGAACATATCACTCAAGCACTTCTAACTGTCGATATATGTGTTTCGAATTCGATCCGAAGTCTGGTGGTTTAAAGGAAATGTCACCTAATTGGCGAAGCAAAATATATGTTGCTTTTAAATTTAAAAATTCTTTTGATTCTAAATATTATAAAAATTCTGTCTTTTAAATTTAATTAAAAAGAAATGTATTGCAACTGCTAGAAATAAAATGTATTTTCATCTTGCACATATTAGTATATTGCCGTTCGACGAAGCATAAGATTTGTAAATTTTTTTCAATTTTATTCTGCTAAATTATTGTTATTCTGTGTAACTAGTGTGAAATTCTGTTAAACTTGTTATTAGTCTCTTAAACTGTTGTTCT